AAGGAAGAGTGTTTTCCCCTGTATTTGGCACTGGCGAGGCCACATCTGGAGTAGTGTATCCAGTTTTGGGCCTTCCACTACAGAAAGGATGTAGACAAATTGGAGAGAGTCCAGCAGAGGGCAACAAAAAATGGTTAGAGGCTGGGGCACATGATTTCTCAGGAGAGGCTGAGGGAACTGGACTTGCTTTGCGTAGAGGAAAGAAGACTGAGAGATGTAATAGTAGCTTTCAACTACCTGAAGAGTGGTTCCAAAGAGGATGGGGCTCGACTGTTCTTACTGGTGACAGATGACAGAAGGAGCAACTTCCTGTGCTGCCAGTATTGCAACAAGGGAAGTTTAGGTTAGATATTAGGAAAAACTTCTTCACTATGAGAGTAGTTGAACATTGGGACAGTTTACCCAGTGAGGCTGTGGAATCTCAATTCTTGGAGGTTTTTAGGACCTGGGATGATAGTTGGGGATGATCATGCCTTGAGCAGGAAACTGGGCTGGATGACATCCCAAAGTCCATTCTAACTCTCATTTTCTGTGATTCTATGAATAATACTTGATTTTAATTTGGCACAACTTTAGGAAGGACAGTTTTGGGCCAGCCAAGGAAAATGTTTTTTACTGAGGATCATGAACAAAATGAACATACAAGTTTGCTGTCATCTTCTACTCAAGACCCAATTTCAGATGCTGCTTCTATGCCATCTTCACCCATGGGTCATTACCAGGGGTTTGGACACACTGTGACACCTCTGACTACACCCACAGCTACGCTATCTGATGGCATTTATAACACCACAATTGCTGCTGAAGAGAATGAGGATTCCCCTGTTACTGAATACAGTACAGCAGAGAAGCCTTTAGACAAAAGTTAAGCCTATCTCCACTTGTGTGCTAAGGAATTTGAGTCCTTTCCTGCCATGTTTTGTGATAATAGACCATTGTATGTGGAAATAGTGTCAGTGGTTGGGACAAACTGCAGCAGAGCATATGTGGTTTGGAATCTTGGGTCTAAATACTGAATCTGTAACTGATTTGAGCCCATTGTACTACCTTAATATAAAACAGAGTTTGAAATGTCTCTGTACGTAAGAAGCAACTCCTTAGAGTGCTGAAGTATTTAAAAGGTTCTTTAGTGGATATGAAAGACAGTATTGTACTGAAATTAAACTGACATTTATTCAAAAGACATCTAAAAACAAGGACTGTGTTTTTCACATGCATGGAATATAGGTAGCGCTAATAAACAGGTTTAAGAATGTAATTGCACAAATGAATAATGCAGACTTTTGTTAAGTTTATCTTTCCTGTAAAATAGGCACTAAAGAAATGTGGAGGTGATGAGGGGGGGAGAAGGAGATTACTACCCCTCCACCCCCCCACTTTCCCTTTTACATAAATGTATACAACTAAAACCCCTTCATGAAGATACCCTCTTTCCAATGCAGAGTACTGATCTGGCTGAGCATCAGCCTGAGGCTCCTGCAAAACTTATCTGCTCCCTATGAACTCAGGACCCAAAATTGCCCCCCCCCGAGCATGACAGTACTACACATCTTGCCTTTTTTCCTTTGTAAAAGAAACAAAGTCTGAGCATAGGAGCTCGGAAATGCCCATATTTTAAAACTGCTGCTCAGGGCAAGTAATCTACATGTGGCTTCCATTTCCCCTATCCTTAAAATGGGAATAGGACTTCCCTAACTTCATGTATTTATGGGGAAAAACAATTAGTGTTTGTAAAATTTGTCTAGTGGGAAAAGCATTCAATGAGATTAAAAGAAAAGTTTCTTTTTTCAAACTTGAAGCTGCAGTAAGCTCTTAAACATTTCTTTAAACAATCTTAACCATGTCAAAGAAGAATATTTCCCAAGAGTGGGTCTGTAGTAGTTTGTATTCACTGATTTTGTGTGCCTCTCTTTGTGGTCTAGGTTCAAATAAAATAAATTGTCCCCTCATGGAGGAGGAGAGATTCACTAAGGGAGAATCAAATAAATCTGGAGTTGCTAAGTTTAGACTTCAGAACAAAATAAGTACACTTCTATCAAAGCACTAAGGATCTTTTTTCCTCCCTAAAATGAAGAGGGGTATTTTTGTACCCCCAGTAACAAGCTTACATTTGTATTGCATGCTTGCAGTCCAACATTCATGTTGGAAAAAAAAATAGAGCTGCATTGACGCTTTTTAAAGTAGCATCTACAACATTCCACCAAGAAATACTTGCAACTTAACTTATTTCCTTATCTGCATTGATAACCCTTTACAGGGCAAAACTTAGTTGTAATGTTTGGCTCATCATAAAAGTGCTTTTTGCAGTACTAGTGTTATGTAAATATATTTTGCCTTATTCACTAGGCTGCATATTTTATAGTTAAAATTAGATATGTACTTCACTGTACCTGAAGTTGGCAGAAAAGAGCAAACCGTACTTTGTTTTGCTAGTTCATTGTCATCATTGTAAATAAGCAAATAAATTTTAATTGAAACTTGTTTGTTCTCTCCTGTATTTACTCTGTTTTATAAACTGGTTAAGTAATTGTGGATGATGGCCTCAAGCTGCAGCATGGGAAACTTAGGTTGGAGGTCAAGAAGAACTTTGAGTGGTCAAGTATTGGAACAGGCTACCTAGAGAAAACTGTGGAATCTCGAGCCTTGGAAATTTTCAAGAGCAGGTTGGATAGACACTTGGCTGGGATGATCTTGCCTTGAGCAAGAGTGGGGCTGGACTAGCTGATCCTGTGAGCCTATGTACTTACGAACCTCACAAGAAAAGCCATTTGCCGCTTTTCAAAAAAAGATATCTTACGTAAAACAAATCCAAGCCCTTGTTTCAGCCTTCTTGCTGAACTGATGCCTAGAAAAAAATTGGCAGACTTCTCTCCACTTGCATTCATAAATGCAGTAGTACCTATTTATGTATTAATTCCTTAAAGCAGGTTCTGCTTTGGTACCCTAGAGTGCCTTTTTTTTATTATTATTTATTTATTTATTTTTACAGGTGCTGCAGGTTGCTGCACTGTTGTGCAAACATGAAACGCAACATGAATCCATAGTGTTCAAAATACTCTGACCTGTTGTAATCAGAGTTCTTTGCAACAGAAGAATTGCTCTATTATTTTTTGATAGTCAAAAAATGAGCAAGAACTAAGCTGGCATTTTCTGAGGGGTGTTTTGAGTTTTAAAATGTTGAGAACCATCATCTTAAAGCATATTAGTTTCTGCCTCAAGGCCTGAGAAAACAGAATTTGTAACCTGCCCATAACTTCAGATCGAGCAGTGTTCTCTTCTAGAATTTGTTTCAGCCAAAGAGAATGTCTTAACAGATCCTTTCAAATCCTCTGGACTCCAGCTCAAACATTGGTTTCTATAAGCAGTTTTCTGTGTACACAGGGGCAGTTGCTGAAGGAGCAAGGTCACCAGCCATGGTGTAGGTCAAACACAACACCTTTAACTCCAGCAGATCACTAATCACTGATGCTGCATCCACAGCTGGTTACAGTATCTGATGAGCAGGAAGATGTATTTTGCAGCAGCTTGTTTCCAAACTGAGGTCCAGCATCTACAGAATGGATTGCAGTCTAGTTGGAACTGATAAGTAGAGTTAACAACAGGAATTTCATTCTTTTGAACAACAGTGGTTGCTGAGACCATCCTGTGTATGCCTCATGAGCTCTGTAATCAAGAGGGGTAGGGTGGCCTGAATTCTCTTGCAATCCTCACTACCTATGCCCGTGTCTTCATAAATCAAATTTGCTTGTATTAATCTCTTTGATTTTAGAACCAACTTTGTTTGTGTAAGTAGCAACAGGTGTCCTGGAAAATAGAGAGATATGCTTCACAAAATAATCTGAAAGCAGGTCTAAGATACCTTCTCACTAATCAATCTGTTCATCTGGCCATTCTTTACCTCCAAAGTTTATTCTGCTCAGGTTGAATCAAATCCAATAAAATTTGTTTAGCTGCTTATGAACTTTGCCTTTTGCGGGACTAGATGAATTAGTCTGTCTCTATTTGTGGGACATGATAGAACAGACATCTGTGGACTATGCAAATAAAGCTTTGAATTGGATACAAACCTGCTACCTTTTAAGGAACAAGCCCTCTGACACATTTGTTCTTTTTTGGGTCAAACTGAGAAGCCTCTACCCCAAATGGTCACCAACCAGTGGATCTCAATCTACGGGTAAATCTTGGAGGTGATCCAAGGCCCGGGCGGGGGGGCCAGGGGCCGAGTGCCCGCATGCATGCCCCAAACTAGCAGGTCAGTCCATGGGGGAGGGAAGAAGTGGGGGCTAAATCAAGGCCCTCACTGTGAGGGACAGTGCTGCAGAGGCAGGAGCAAGGGCAAGTTGAGTGGAACCCAGCTGGGTGGGACTTACTGCTTGGGAGATGTGCCCCTAGCTACTTTTTTCTGCCTCTGCCCCCCCCTTCCCTTCCCACAGACTTACCTGCTGGGCAGGGGGCGCAGATGCACAGATCTTGGGTTGCTTGTAAATGCCAAAAAAGTGGTATGCCAAAGGTGATCTTCTTAAAAAGGTTGGAGGCTACTGCTCTACCTCATCTTAAAACATCCCTTTTGACTCGCAAGTTGTAAGGTGGTTGTCTGGAGTTCAGTCTCAATGGCTTGGTGCAGGCATTTAGGTCACAGACAAACTTTAGCAGAGTAACTTTTCAGTTGTTACAGATATTTCAGTAATGTAGAAGAGGCTTGACTGCCAGTTTTCTATTAGAACATTTTCTGCTTATGCTTCATCTGTTTATGCTCAGCTTTTCTGCAGTGGGCTGTTCCTTTCATTGTTACTCTTGGTCAGTTTTTGCTTGGGCAGCTCCCATGTTGCCATCCTCAAAGGACTGTCCTACTGTGTTCCTCTTCTGGTATCTATGTTTCCAGTGTGCTTAAGATTGGAATCTTTGGTCCAACAGCATTTGTTGGGATCACACAATCTGCCCAAAATCTTACTCATAGGCCGTGTCCAGATGAGTGCGGCATGTGGTGCTGCAGACGCATTTGCAGCGCCACATACCGCACATTCAGTTGTTCTCCGCACTGGGAGAGAGCAGAGATAACCAGCACACACAGACATAAAAAGTGGAGTGGCACATGCAGAGGGAAAGCACACGCAGCTCAAAACCAGAGCCTGGCCGGCCAGAGCCACACTCTAGCTGTTGGCCAGGCTCCAAGCAGCAAGATTGCCACTGCTGCAGCCCCAGGAGGCCCCCGGGGCCCCAGATAAGGGTAAGCTTGGGTAGCTTACCCCAGGTGGGCAGCTTACTCCCCACCTGGGGTAGAGCTGCCAGAGGGTATCTGGCACAGGCATTCCCCAGGGATAATTAGTGGTGACACAAGGTGTGCAACTGCTAGTTGTCCCTAGGGAACCAAATGTCCACGCTCGTGTAGATGCAGCCATAGTGATTACCATTTGGCTCAACAGGGGTGAAATGTCTTGCATATTATTTCCACTGGAAAAAAAATGAAGTACCCACATACCTCATGGTACATACCACAAGACTCCTGGCCCCTTTCTCCTAATTATTTGCAGTTTTGGCTCTATTGCAGCATTCTGTATATTCTTCTGGAGTTAAGATAATTTTTTTCTGCACCATAAGGACATATCTTAGGTAGAACAACCTATCAAATGCCAGCTGCTATTTTCTCCTATATGAAGCACTGATTTCAGTAGAATGTGCCCTGCTGTCAAGTAGCTTCACTAGAGATTCTTGCACTACAGGTAGTTCAGGACAGTTTTAATACACTCATGCCTAGTTACATTGCATCATCATTTAATAATGCTCTACTGGAGCTGAAAAAGAACATCTGGTAGATACCCACAATGACTAGATTAACTTTCCAGACAGTAGATGAATAATATCAGGGTTCTTCCACCAGTTTTGTGTACTTCTATTGTACCCATGACAATTTTGTGAGACAGGGAAATACAGATGAAGAAAACCAAGTGAAACTTGTGAAAGTCAGAGAACCAGAAATTGTACGGACTCTGTCAGAATCACAAAGCTAACTGCATACTTGCTTTGACTTTGCCTACAACTGAACTCACTCAGAATCTTGCCAAGCTTCTGACATTGCAACAAGAAAGGGTAGTACACATTCGTAACAATGAAACCAAACAGAAATTGAGCTTGTACTATTGGTAGCTCCAGATGATGAGGAAAAGATGTTCAGAAATCTCTACCAACCAAGCATGTGACTTAATGTCAGGAGTAGTGCTAAGCTGCATGAAAAGAGAGTTTAATACAAGGATCAGTGGGAACACATGGAATTTGGGGTGGGAGATGGAAGAGAATCTCAAATATTGTTCCAGAATTACACTGGTATGCATTTTGCTATTTATAGCAGGGGTTTTCAACCTTTTTTAATAAGTTTACCTCCGGCAGCTGGACGAGGGGCAGCAGTGCACAGCCGAACATTGAGTGGCAGTCCGGGGTGGTGGATGGGCGGCAGCAGCTGCCACTGCATGCAAACTTCCCCCCAGCATCCAACTGGCCAGGCAGAGCTGCCCCGCCCTGGCCCTGCTCCTGCAAGGCAGGGGCACAGGGTGGTGGGTGGCGGTGCTCCATCCTTACCTGCCCATGCATACCCCCTAGGGCCTTCTCTGTATACTCCCTAGTTGACAACCCCTGATTTATAGTCATCACTGCTTGATATGGCGGCTTGCATAAAAATTAAACTGACGAAAACTGCTGGTATCCTGTGTGCCTTTGTACAGAGGCCAGCAACCTCCTAGTATTTAAAGGGAAAAAAAAACAAACCAGAAATAGAGTTAAGTGATCAACTCTACTTGTAACAGGAATTACTGCAGTAGTGAGGATGTAATATAACAGATTACTAGATATCTTGTTAAATGGTATGTAGTTCATCAATAAGCTCTTGTCAAAATAAAAATTTATTAACTTAATTGCCGTTATTAAACATATCATTTTGGGTTCAGTACATAAGATTTAGATTTTATGCTCATGCTATGCAAGACATCTCAAGTGCTGATCAGTCCAACTAGTATGCATAGATAATACATAAATTATTTTCTTTCAGCTTCCAGATGACTATTCTTCACTCTTTTACTGTGATGCTGACATTGCTTTTATGGTGCTGAATGCTGAGCACAAGTTCCTCTCCTTGCTTAACTGGGATGGGTTTATCTAGAACAACTGCAGCTTGTTTCCAATGGGAGGACTCATCTGATGTATCCAAACTAGTATCTTCATCTAGATGTATATGATACCAAAATGGAATGGCAGTGACTTGGCCAGATTTACAAATTTGCACCTTAAAAAAAGAAAAAGGATATTTAAGACATAAATAAGATTGAGAGGTTGAAAAGAGTTACAATTACTTAAATTATTGCAACTGTGGTAGTGTTTGGGACAGGAAGAAAATAAAATAATTTAAAATTTAAATCTGCTCCTAAGAGGCCTGCAGCTATGTATATTTTGTACTGTAATTTTCAACCAAGGTAATCAGTCTGAACATTTCTGACAGGAAGGTAAGCACACTTTTGAATATATGCACTCAACTTACCTTTATCTCTCTAGTGGAGCTGTTCAAATAAGGGTTCATGAAGTCAAGTCTTAGGAGCTCTGCTGGCTTGCTTAAGGGCACACATGGTAATGTGGAGAGATCCAAATACACACGAACAGGCACCTGCAGAGGAGTACACCACACTTTCAGATTTAAGCAGCAACTTCAAAATAATTCACTTCTGAGAGTGACTTAACCTTTTAAGAACCTGACTTTCATAAGACAAGTTATTTAGTCATTCTTCTGTACATTATAGTATTAACTTTCATCCCTCCTTTCCGACCAAAATTTACTTTTGCCCTATCTGAAAGGAGATGTCTTCTTCAGGCTTGAACAATTTTTAGGCACAGAGCATAAGTTACAAAAATCCACATTATGTTAAATTAATCCAACACCATTCAGCTTCTAGCACTTATTTTTGTTGTGTCCTTCTGCCCCTCATTTGGTTATTTGCAGGTTTTGATAACTATGCTTGATACTGAAGCAGCCACCAACTTCCTACCTTGAACTGGTTGATAAATGGTGCTATATTAAACCCAAGCGTGGGTTCTGTCCCTTGAACAGTACTCTCAAGTAATAAAGACTGTGATTCTACAAGCATCCCATACATCAACACGTACTGTGGGAATATTTTCCCTCCAGAATGAAGCAAACACCTATTAAAAGAAAAGAGGGGTTTTATTACTGCTTCTGCATGTTTCCAGTTCCAAGGAAATAAGCTACTGTAAGGTACTGAATTCAAGATCACTTACATTAGCACTTGAGTTCCATTATTTATAAGGGCTCCCCTGAATTGGAGTCTAATAGAATTATTCATGTCACCTGAATTTTTGGCAACTTGTTTACACGTTTTATTTGGAAGACTGATTACAAATATTTTGACTTTCTATCATCTAACACTGTTAGAACCAATGAACCAACCAATGATACCCGCACATCAATCTGGCAGGTATATAAGGAACAGTGGAAGAGCTAGAGAAAGGCAATCCCTGCATAAACGCTTGCCCAGAATTAGAATGAGGACCTAAAATGTGTATACTGAATGGTGAAGGTGACATAGGTTGTGTTCAAGTATAAATGTCTGGTTTATTTGTAACAGTGAGTCCCAAGCCAGTGCTAAAGGAGTGGTAAAAAAAAGCTGAGAGTAAAACTGGAAGATGATGATGGAACAGATCACTGGAACGACAGTTAAGAAGAAAGCAAATCTCACCTGTAAAAGTCAATCCACTGTGCAAAACAGAAGTGGCCAGCTGTTCATTCAGGCCAATGCCAATTAGATATATCAGACAGATTTATGATGCCAACAATGTTGCTTTTAAAAAATATTTAACAAAAACATTTTTACCAATACAAAATACAGACTCATAGGATCAGATCCCATTCCCCCTACATGAGTATCTGAAAAACAGCTTATAAACAAGGCCTTCCTGCCCTTTTCTTTTTTGACTTAAGGTTACTTTATGACAGCATGTTGCAAAAACAGGTACGTGATTTTTTTACAGGAACGTGAGCAGGGTAAAACAGGATTGCACTTATGTGTTTAATTGGTAGAGTAGGACCTTGCTCATAGAATGAGTGTTTTATGTATTAAATCTGGGAGACCGCTTCACTCCACAGCCACAAATCACAGCACTGTTAAGAGCAAAAGCATCAAGGAAAAAATCCGAGTTCTTCAAAACAACAAACAAAATTCAGAATCTGCATGATCTCCTTTTATATAGCTGCTAGCAAGTACAATTCATGGGAAAAATAGGAGATTTACTTCTTTCTTAAACACACTTTGACAGCTCGTGAAAACTGAAATGAAAACACATGCACACGACAAAAATAAAAACTAACTCCCTTTTTTTGTTCCCTATGCAAGCAAGTCACCACAAGGGTTAACTCACTAAAATCATCATCGTCCTAGATGGATGGATGCTACTCAGCTCTACCAGAAAAAACTCCCCATCAAAAAAAACCACAACAGAACAAAATGCTCCCCCTATTCAGTTCCATAACTTCTTACATTCTTTTCTGTGTGTCCTCCTTGATACTTTTAGATGTTACATCTTAGTTTCTCTCTTGCTTTGCTGCTTTATTTCAGCTTGTTCTACCTTTTTCTTATTCTCTGCCTCTGACCATTCCAGCTCCCATGTTATCAGCCTCTTAATTTCAGTCTCTTCTAACCACAACCAAGCAGCCTGAAACAGAGAACATTCTTGGCTTGTTCTTCAATTTGGGAGTCTCTTAAATTTCAAACTGCTTCAGCTACTGTCGAGATACAATTGTCCTTATTTCTGGCTCCTGGCATTCTGAGCAATAATATTTCCCTGAGTCATTCTTTTCATTGTCAGAAAATGTTTCTATAGAAGTCAAATTCACAGCTCTTATTTCTAAATATGATATATTAAATAGATTCTGTATTATATTTAATACATTAGATCTTTGCGAGGTTTGCAATAGTTACAAAAGACATTCTCACTTTCAGAAAACTACCAAATGACATACCTGGATATTGCTGCCTTTTCCATCACCTCCTGCTGGATTAAGCCAGAAGCTTCTATGACATCCAGGATTATAATACTCCACAATTTATCAGATTTGGGTCTCTGCAACACCGAACTCTCATCTGTTAAGTGGCTGAGCCAAAACTCTAATGTTTCTTTTGGGAAATGGTTGGCTTCTGAAATTATATTAAGGGCTATTTGGTGCTGTTGTTTTTCAACAGAACTGTAAGCTTTCACTGGCCCAAGTTTACCTGCAATTATTGGCAGAATTGAAAAGCCCTCAGACACATCTAAAATATAAAAAGGGTCAGTGCTTGTCTGCAAGGAATCCTTGTTTTGACTCTCCCCGAGGTTCCTTTCACTGCCATCAACATCCATTGACTGCAGTTCTGTATTTGAGGAAAAAGATGACAATACTTTGCTAATGGCAGCTTTAAAGCATTCATGATATGCCACATTGTTCAGTAAAGCAATTTCAGTTGATTCCAGCACACATTCACAACCCACTCTATCTAGTTTGCTGGCAGTCTGAAGACTAGCAAGGGCACTACACAGCTCAGCCTCATTGCCCAAAGCTGGTGTATTCTCCCTTTCAACATCCATTCTGCACTCTGAAGGGGAAACGGAAATCTTCTGGATCCTCAAATAGCAGTCCTGGCAGCTTACTTCCAGCACCACAATGTCTCCGGGTTTCCTGGAGTAATCTGATCAAAACAGTACCAAAAAAGGAACATTAACAACTTTTTTTACAACAACCGTTATAGCTAACTGTCCCCTGCTTTTGCTCTAAAGGGGGAACACAATCCTGTTTCTTGACAAGTTGACATTGAGTTTGCATAAAATAAATTGACACTCGATCTGTAATAAGAGGTATATGGCATTCCTAAAACAGAGGCTCCATCATGCAATTCCCCATGTCTTGAGGGAAGCTGGCCCATTCTAACCTGAGCAACGAGCTAACACTACGCCCTGCAGCCTTTTCAGAAGTGAAAGTGGATGCAGGCCACTCTCTCCCAGCCACAAATGGCTTGCAATATGTATTAACATGATCCTTTAAATTTACATGCAGAATAGAACCTTTTAATCTCAAATAACGTGTTATAGATAACTACCTCTGGTAACAGCAAACCTTAACCCCAAGATTTTACTGGACAAAGTTAACTAACATTTAACATTTTACTATTTTCTTCATATTTCCCAAGATTAAATGTGACTGTATAAATAACGACAGGTAAATCCATGAATACCCATAACTATAATTTCTAGAAGTACATACTATATGTTCAAAATGAATGAAGTTTTCTACTGAACATGTGGTGACACAGCTGCAAAAGCTACCTTAATGACACTCAGTTCTCTCCCCCCACTCCTCACATCCCCAAATAGGAAGAGAAGTGTCTCTAAGCAAAAGTGGAAATAGACATAGGGAAGAAAAGGTCTTGCTAATCAATAATGAAGTAAAGGCTCTGAGGACTCGAGGAAAAAGCCACTCTGGCCTGGCTAGTAATGCTTCTTCGTCTTCCCCATATATGTTCCCTTATCACAGAGGCAAATTGGTTACTAGAAGACAAAAAACAACAATAAGAAAATCCACAAGACATACCAAGAAGGCCCTGTACAGGGTAGACTGCCTGTTCCCAGCAAGTTTCCTCACTGGGACTTGTAGACAGAGTGTGTTCATCATCAAGGTGTAGCACAAACCACACCACAACAGCATCCAACAGTCCTCCTCGAGTGATGGGTACGCTGATCTTGCAAGGTTTTCTAGTAGCAAGGTTTTTCAGTTCCTGACCAAGAACAGGAAAGGAAAAAAGAAAAACATGGCAGTTTTCCCTTTACCAAAATCAGCAGTCTGTTTATCATAGGTAATTGGCCATAACTCAAAATCCATACGGACTTTAATGAGAGTTGTAAGAGATGCTTAGCACCCCAAACATCAGTCCATATTCATAAACCAGAAGGATACTAATGACTATGAATTTTTTTTTTTTTTTTTTTTTTTTTTTAAAGGAATCATCGAAACAAAGACTTCAAGCAAGGCACTATAAAGAATAGGCCTGTTCATTCAACTGACTAGCAAGACAAGCTTACTCAGCACAGCTAAACTTCTGAGTTATAATTTAGAAAAGCCAAAACATAAAGGCTTCGCTTTAAGTACGCAGTTAAGCCTCAACAACTCTAATGAGTCTCAAGAAGTTTGGTATATGCTAAAGCACTGGATAGGGATGCTTTCGAGAACTAAGAACCAATAAAAATGAAACAAAAAATTATAATACATTTGATTTCATAATTATTTGAATAGTAAAAATCTAATAGGGATTTCATAGGTTCCTTTACTTGCCAGTTTGTTATTCTGTGTCCAAACATGCACATATCATTAAACCACTGATAAAAAGGAAAGAACTTCCCTGAAGTTAGCAAAATGTTACATTAAAAATACTAGAATCATAGTTTATGTTAACATTTCAAACAAATTACAAATTTTTTAAAGACTCTGCCTCAAAAGATGTGCATATAATATATCCACCAAATGCCTAAATATTAAAAAAAGGAACAGGAATCAGATCACCTCTAAAGTACGATTTCTCCACCCTTCCCACCAACACTTACCAAAGGTACTTTCATAAGAATAACTAAACAGAACAAATCTTGAAGTTAGGATGCAAAATTTTCCATCAAGGAAATCATAAAACTCCAAGAGCATCTTAAAATCCAAGTACTAAATATATGTTTTAAAGTTTCAGTCTTAACAAAGAAACAAATGAACAAACATTTGATTCCAAGATTCTGCCTAGTTCTCATAGCATGCAGTTTTTTTTTCATTTTCCTCCTGTATTCTCCAAGGGGGTTATTTTTTCAAATTGATAAATGGCTTAGTGGTATGCACAAAGCAAACACAATGCTGATGAAGTTCATAATGAAACCTAAGTGCTCAAAGAAATGCTTTGTTGCTTAGTCATTTCTCCAAATTTCCTTAACTTCACTAGAGAATAGCAAAGTAACGAGCAGGGATCCCAGTTTTCAGTTTCCCATGGGAAAACAGAGAAAAACAGATTTTCCCTTTCACCAGAGGAAACTGTGGACTTCTCGTTTTAGCGGAGAAATCTGTGGATTTTGCAGTATTGCAAAGAGGTCTCTGCAGGCTGGCAGAGTTCCAGCCCCTGTGCACACTCCTAGGGGGCAGGGGGGACCCGCGCATGGGGTGGCTGTAGGCTCAGGTTCCCACCCTACTGCCCTTCCTGGACCCTCTGCAACCCACCAGGTGCAACCCGGCATGCCAGGGCAGCGTAGAGCTCACAGAGGCAAGCAGCTTTCCTGCACAGCTCTGCTGTTCCCTGCAATGCCAGATTGCACCCGCTGGGCTGCAGAGGCCATGGGGGAGGGCAGGAGCCAAGCCCACAGCAGGCAGCCTGTGCTTGCCACATGTACAGATCTGGGGGGCACAGGAGTCCCCCCCCCGGTACCCAGGAGTGTGCACAGTGATGGGGAAGCCGTCCCACCTCGCTCAAGCCTGCAGCAGGCAGGCAGCTGGAGGTGGGTGTGGGTGGAGCTGGGTCCCTGGGCCCATAGCCCTAGCAGCTGGGGAACCCCTCTGGCAGGGCTGGGTGGGGGGGGTGAGTGAGGGGCATGAGCAAGGCCAGGGGCATCAGCAAGACCAGGGGGCTGCGGAGGAGAGAGGGGGGAGTGAAGGGCACCAGCAGGGCAGGGAGGTTGTGGAGTGGGGGACTGAGGGGCCTTTCATTTTAACCACTGATTTTTATCAGAGAATTTGTGTTGTTTTTTTTTTTAATCAGGGAAAACCAGGATCCTTGGTAATGAGGCTTTACTGGTATGTCACCCACAGAAGCTAGACAAGCTCTTGTGAGCATATGTATAGGGGTATGTGTTTTTTATATAGGAAATGGTAGCTTTTAATAGTTCTTCCTTAAAACAAGGCAATGTAAGTCCACATCAAAGAATGCAAGTCTTATTCTTCACTCATTTTCTACTGCCACTTATAATATTTAGGGCTCCCAATTACTTGGGTGCCACAAGATTTTTTTTTTATTTTAAAACTACGCGAGATTAGTAATGATATAATTACTGGCAGCATTTTACTACGAGTCCTCCATTTCCCTTACATGGCTACCAACACCCAAAACCTTTCATCTGCTTCTCTCCATCCTCCCAAACTCTTTCCTCTTCTATAACATGCTGCTTCTCTATACACGCAATGCTCCCTCTCTATTTGGCTCCATACCATTCTAGTGTGTAAGATACAAGTGAATTTCACTTTGCAATCTGTGGCCAATATAGAATAAGATGGGAGACAGTAAAGAGGAGACAGGAAATATCTGAGCAATGAAGGAGGAAACTAAACAAGGAAGAGAATGCTATTATGGAATGACTTCTTTGAGAAAAATGAGAGAAAGAATGAGTAAAAAAAACAGATGGAAAGAAAAGGAGAGGAAAACAATAAGAAAAAGAGAAAAAGGCCAAAAGAATGCAAGCTGGCATTTTTATTCAGTCTACATCTCTGCAGGTTCTCTCTCAGTTCTATTAATTTAGAACTGAAATATGGAGAATCATAACCAACTACTGTTGATACTAGAGGTGCACTGATACATCGTCTGATATCACATTGGCACCAATATAAAGAAAACTGACTATCGGAAATCAGTCTGATGTGGCTGATAAATAGCCCATGTGTGCGCACAGCTGTAGTGAAGCACATAGGTAGGGAGCAGCACAGTCTGGGAGCATGGAGAACTGTAAGGCTGTTGTGGTGGATGGGGAGGGGGAGGGAAGAGGTGTGGGGGACAGATCAAGGCCCCCGCGGTAAGGGAGGGAGTGGGGCTTGGCTGGGCTGAGGCAGGTGGTACCTAGCCAAAGTGGGGTGGAGCTGCAGCTCATCTGGGGTGGGGGCGGCTTCCACTGCTGCGTGCACCCCAGGAGGGCATGGGGGGATGCCCCCCCCAGATCTGGGCCTGGGGCAAGGTGGGGCGGGCTGCCACTGCAGACTGGGGCTGCACCAGGCTCTTCCCAGCAGGGGTTGACCGGGCAGGGAAGGCGGCACTGGAAGGGGGTGTTGGGGGGGCTATGGCAAATTTTGGGGGGGGCTGCAGCCCCTCCCATAGCCCCCCTCCCAGCACTGCCACCACCCACCCCAAGCTCAGCCTGGCACAGCCCCCGCTGGGAAGAGCCTGGTGCAGCCCCGGCCCCAGCCTGCAGTGGCAGCCCACCCTGCCCTGCACACACATGGGGGCACGTGCCCCCACCCCCCAGGGTGTGCACAGCAGCAGGAGCTGCACCCCCCTCCCCATGCCCCCAGACAAGTGGAGGCTCCATCTCCACACCCTTCCCCTCCCTGGCTGGGCAGCGCTTGTCCCACTCCCTCCCTCACCGCAGGAACCTTGATCTGCTCCCCCACACCCCTTCCACCACAACAACTTACCAGATGAACACTGCTCTTCAAGCTACTGGGCTGCGTATCACAAATCAGATTGGTATCGGCCGATATGCCTCCTTAAAAATCAGCTATCAGTATTGGCCCCAAAAGTCTGCGCACCCCTAGCTGATACAATCAATGTTAAATCCCTTACCAAGAAATTGCACCCGAGTTGAGAGTAAATTTTCAGAACTATATGATCAAGTGGCAAGTAATTCGACTTCTGAATTTCTTATTTTGATATACCCCTCCCTCCCTCTCTCTCTCTCTCTCCAATGCTAGCAAGCATGTCAATAGATTTTTTTTTTAAATGGGAGAAATTAACATCTCATTTAATTAAACTACATTTGAGAACCAAAAGTAGGCGCAATGAAAAAAAATGTAAACAGAAAACAAAGTGAAGTGAGAATGGTCAGTGTTTGAAACAGCCACAGATCTCTGATGGCAAGGGGAAGCAAAGTCATGAAAATTCAACTGTTTGAAACAAAAGAAAACAAATATATTTCTTATTTTCACCACTGTTCATTACTTCTATGCCTCCCTAAAAAGAAACGCTGAAATCTGCCTATATTGAAAATTTAATTGAAGGACCTAACGTTTAAAGAAATAAAGACCACATTGCTTTAGGCTCTTATGCAAGATGGAATACAAACAAATGTATCTAGCACACATGTGAGGTTAACATGTTTAAAAGAACTGCAAGTATTTGATAGAACTGAGTAATAGTTTTACGAAGCTCCAGACGGAGAAGACATTAGGTCATTGAGGGATAATTCCCAGTAGTACATAAAGTACTTTGCTTTACTTCATTTTTAACCTCAGATGTCAGATAAGGTGAATAGAGAAAATTATTGATTCAAAGCACTGATGTTCCCAGCCAATTTGTAGTCAAAAATGATTTCATCTATATAACAGAATTTATTTTAAGCTTTGGCTCCCTACTTAATTGCAAACTTCACTGTGTGGGTCAACAAGCAAGGAACATATATACACCAGGGACAAAAATATATCATCCTTTAAACATGCTCAGCTCTCACCAGCTCAAACCAGAAATTAGAAGATGGATAGGTGAAAATACTCCTCCTCCTCTAAAAACTTCAACAACCCTTAGGAACCCCTCTATAATTTTGTTGAAATACGAGTCACAGTTTACATACTGCAGTTTTATTAGTTGTGAGACAATGTGCAAACACTGTTCTTGCTATATACACTTAGGATATGTCTTCACAAAACAATTAACTCAGACTCAGTATTGCCTTTAACCTCCTCCCTTCTCCTGCCCATACACAAAACCCTCTCATATAAAATTTAATGGCGCTTTCAACCCACTCTGTCTGAGTGCACAGGCTAGAACCTGAGTGCTGCTTCTTCCTGGACCGGTAAACTTGTCCATTTTACAGTGAGAGTACAGACTAAATCAAGGGTTGGCAATATATAGTCTGCAGCCCGGATCTGGCCTGCAGAGCTGCAAGGCTTTGTCTGTGGCCGTAGCGAGGCCAGGCAGCTTCCAGGGGCACATGCACCAGTACTGCTTCTCCCTGCTCTCCCAGCTTCAGTCAAACACAAGCCAGGTGCCATAGCATTGCCAGGGCCAGGCAGCTGGGAGCTGCACCAGGGCTGGGCAGCATCTGTGCTGCTACCAAGAGAAGTGTGGGGAGGCAGGGTGCAACAGTGCCATGCAGTTCCCAGATACTGGGTCCCCACGCAGCTTCCCACTGGCAGGAAGCTGTGCCTGTACCACAGCCAGGAAGCAGAGAGAAGTAGTGGTGATACAGGGGCAGCTCCCAACTGTCTGGCTCCAGCGTGAGTGTGGGGAAAGACCCCCATAGCTGACGTGTTGTGGAATCCACCCAGCCTACGCTGGACCAGAGCTGGGTTGTGCCACCCTTTAGCCTGTAAAAGGTTGCTAGGCCCTGGATTAAATTACTTGAGTGCAGACTGACAGTCCTCTGATGCCATCCCACACTCCACCTCTGAGTACAAAAGGAGAGATAAGTTTCCCCAAAATTCACTACGAAAAGTCAGAGTGACTCCGTTTGCAGCAGTACAACACCCATGCCCACCAATTATATTCCAAAAGCCCTAGCAACACAAAGAAGTGGCCACAGCAATGAGGACAAAGTAACTTGGGGATGGCTTTGCCTCATGGCTAAGTGCTAATAATCACCCAAGCAAACTCTGCAGTGAAGATATTTCCATAGAGACCAGTCAGATGTTTGGCTCTGCATCATTACTTCCAAGAGATTTTTTTGGAAAGGACGTAAGGCCAAGAAACAATTTTTTACCTGGAGATTGTTGAAATCCACTGTCATGACTTGAAAGGGTTCTGTCAGAGGCATGTAACCCCCAGGAATTCTACTGAGTTTTTCTGTGGTGTAAGGTTCAAGAGTCTCCTCTGAGTTTACAGAAGCATGTGTTGGACTACAGAACTCCACTGTGTCTGCCAAACGCACACTGGCAACTTCTTGTATTCCCACTCTGGGGGAGGCAAGAGATGGGGGGGAAGAAAAACCACACAAACATACCTAAATGTGACAAAATCAAAACCTATTCACAGTCCTTTCTTTTACCGGTCAAAGCGTTTCGTGCACGATACAATAATTAAGTGTGCACTGATTATGTTCATTCCTGTCGTGTTAAAAAATCTAGAATGTACATCTCTTTGGGGAGTTAAGAAAACAAAAGTTAATGGTTAGTTTAGGAGTATGATGTCCAAGAGCTCCAACACCCTTAAATGTATGAGTCCCAGGGAACAATATACTGGTCATAAGCAGCTGGACAAAAGAAACGTGTGCATTAAAAGAATAGACAGGATATCTTTTTTTCCCTCCTTATCTGCTTTAGGAGAATGATGATGGCACATTTTAAAATAGACTAACAAATCTGTTGTAATAATTTAGGGAGATGCACAGAAGAGAAAATGCATGCTGAATAGATGCTTTGTAGCATCTTCAAGATGATGATGATTTAAATCAGTCCAGAAAAAAGCAATGTTTCCAAATAAAATTGGCAATCGAGATGAAAAAGGTTGTTTTTAGGGTAGAATAGGCTTCCCCCCCATTCAGAACAGTTTCCCTTCACATAGAACATGGAACAGCCCCATTATTGTGTAGGAAAAAGACTTATTAAGGGTGGCTTTAAAGAAAAGATGATATGACATCTTTAACGCATTTAACTTTTATACTTTTAAGTTTAAGGATTCTGAGCCATAGTCTATATTCTGAATTTCAAGAATTACAAGAAGTCAGAAATTTATATTAGGCAAAAGACGGTCTTACATAAGCTGCAGCTCTCGATTATTCTGAGAAAAATGTATGCCAGTACAGAATTAATTTCTTCCAATTTAAGGAATAGCTAACATGACAGACTGCATATGTATTAGTCAGAGGTTCAAGTGACAGCCAAACTAAATTCCTAGAACTGTTCTTAAATTCCTAAAAAGGTGGTTTTAGAATTACAAGAGCCCTCATAAAAAAACTTTCAGTAGTCAGGTCATATGGTATATCACTTCAGATACAGTTCTCTCCTGATCTGTGAAATTCCTAATGGCAGAAAGAAAGGAACTATCTTTTGTTATAGCATCCATTTTTTAAATAGCAAATGTATCTTGACGTATAAAAACAGCAAAACAAATCAACCTACATCTTTGTGGTAGTCTGCTGGCAATACTTAAAAATATGCTGCAATATGTTTATTGCATAATACAAGTGATATTTTTAAAATGCATTCTAACTGTTGTACACAATCAATATTTAACAGATACCAAAATGTTCCCTATAATGGGGCCTATAAACAGCCTTTTCTCCCATAATATGTATCAAAATATTTTTAAACATGCTCGCTTCAAATATTTTTAGTAAAGATAATTAATAATTGGTATAAATTTATAGGAGCTATGGCATATTTGGACATACACAGAGCAATGACACATTTTCCTTCCTGTTAACTTTATAAATGAGGATGAGATAGCTTTCTAGAAGGTATGTTACAGCTCAAAACAGAAGTTATTAGCTTCATGCAGAAGTTAGTGTGGGAGGCTCTTTGGAATTCACTGTGGAAGAAGTCAGGCTGTATAACTGCAATGATCCCTTCTGTTTTTACTGAATCACTACGTAAGTGCCATATTAAAGCATCTTTCCCTAAGCCTGAAGGTCTGAAAATCAGGCCTGGAAGTCCAAAACTTTAAATTCTACAGTGAATTCAGTTTGAGAAAATGCCTAGTTACAGATCAACAAGGCCCCGATAGATGTTATTTTATAAAAGTTAAGAACCTAAGAATTGCTATTTACTGGGTCACACCATAGGTCCATCTTGCCCAGTATCGTGTGTTACACAATGGCAGAGAATGGATGCTGAAAGGCAGAGTGAACTGGGTATCACCAGGGTTTTTTCCACTGTCTCTCTCTCACCTGCAATCTCCAAGCATGTAAGGTCTAGGAAATTAATTAAATGGCTGTACCCCTAACTCTCATGCTCAACAGCTATTGATGCTCCTTTCCTCCAAGATTTTGTCCAATTCCTTTTTTGAAGCTGGCTAAAGTGTCAGCTTCTACAACATCTTCTGGCAGAGTTCCATACTTTAAATTACATGTGGTATGAAAAAGACCTTATTTTTGTTAGTTTTTAACTTACTACTTTTGCAGTTTCACTCTGTAACCCCTAGTACTTATATAGTGAGACACAAATGAATAAATCCTTATTTCCATGAAGGAACAGGTCATGTTCACAGGGCAAGATGTACCTAGATGGGAAAAAGTGCCCTGGGAACTTGCTTTGCCAACAATTGCTAACAAGAGGAGCTGAAGAGCTGATGGCAGGGGCTGTCAGCCCCTCTGGGTGAAGAAACTGCTCCCCTAGCCCTTATACCGAGTAAAGAAGACCCGTTAGAACAAAAGGGCGCAAGAGAAGCAGGACACAAACAGATGTTTATGTGTTTTTCCACTCTCCCTATTCTGTCCTCACTTTTAGCTTTCCAAATAAATTCCCTTCCTCTTTCTCATGCTGATTATCTGTTTACACTTTGCTTCTCACAAAGAATAAAGTGCTAATGTCTCCTAAAGAAACAGCCTTGAAAGCAGGTTGGGGAAAGGGAGGAGAGTCAGTGAGTCCTGACATTTCCTGCTAGGGCACCCTGGGGCAGTGTTGTTCAACATGAGTTAGCGAGAACAGAAAGGAGGGCAAATAAACCCAGGAAGCTGGAAGACCCAGCCAAACACAATCACCCTGTGTATTACATGCCACATATTCAAATTAAAGTCTGATAGATGCCACCCACAAAAAATATTCTACATTTTTCAAGTAACATCATGGTAGCTGGTTGGCCATTTTTATTGTGCAATAATTAATTTACATGTATAGTATGTCTAAGTTCAGTGTGCAATTAACCAGTTAATTGCACAATAAGTATAAGGTGACAGGGGCCCAAGTGTAGCAATTTGTGCCACTGACCTGTAAAATATTTACTTTAATGAGTCATGTTATACCACACAAGGAAAGCTGTTTAACTTATAAATGCAACAGGATGTGCAGCATAAGCCTGTACCTTACAAGTTTTGGGGAACTCTCGTTCTTTTATGTTGAGCCTTTCCTTTAAGCCTTTTTCACATGATAGTTCATTATTTTTGTTTGCTCTTCTAACAGAGAATATAGACAGTTTTCAGACCTGCTTTTAAGGGAGTACACTGTAGCAAATATTTCAGATAAAGTGAAAAAAGGCATGTAAAAATCATACAAAACTATGACAATTAAAATGCTACTATGGCAGAAGAAGATTGCAAACTATACACTTACTTCTTAAAAAAGGTGTTTATATTTGGAAACTGTGGTCCAGCAAACCCAGTCTGAGTATCAGGGTGACAGCATAAAAGTAGTAATTCAAAATATAACTAAATAAAGTATTATAGGGGTAAAAACCCCCCAAAACCAAAACCTGGCTCTCTAACGTACACCAAAGTAGTGATTATAGGTGAGATCAATTATCTGACCTCCATTAACAAAATCCTTCACAAGAAATTAAGAAAACTAAGCAGTTATGGGAGGAAAGATAAGAATTCTGTAATGGGTTAAATCAGCTAAAGAGGCCAAGACAGAAAGAAAGACAGAGAATAAGCTTTCTACGTGACAAATGGTTTTGCAGTCAGGTGTTTTTTTGGTATGTGAAAAAGAACGTAAACTATAAGGTTGCAAAATGTGCAGATTAATTTTGATAACGGTGGGTCATCAAGACTATAAAGAGGACTTCAAAAGAGAGCAAGGTGAACAGGATAAAATTCAGTCCTGATAAACAGTAGGTAAGGCATCTCGGATTAAAATAAGTTTGAACTATTATACAATGATTGGTCTCTAAAATCATTGTAAACAGCTAGGCAAAGGAAAGCACAACAAAAAATTGCTTAGCATTGCTGCGTATTTAGCAAAACAATTTAAAAAAGAATATAAAGCTTAGAACTCTGCATTCAGGTCCAGTTATTTTGCTCAGAAATATATACAGCCAAGATGGATTCAAAGATTATGGAAATGACGACAGACATGGGAAATTCTGCATGAGGGGAGACTGAAAAAGGAGTATTCCTTAGAAAACAGACATTATAGAGTTAAATAAAATGAGGAAAGTCAGAGAAGCCAAGTCAGATTTTCTTTTTAAGATCAAAAGGATAATTCAGTGAATATTCTGTGAAATTGTAAGGAATCAAATTAAAAAGCACCTAACATTTCTTCTTATACTACATTATTAGCTTAGAGATCATTGAGGTCGAGCTCTCAGCAGGGTTAAAAAAAAGTTAGCCATACACATTTCTAAGAGATCATCCAAAATTATATTATCCTACCTAGATTTTGTAAGGTTTAGAAACCTTGCTTTAAGATATGAGTGATTAAAAGACTAAGGGGAAACATCTTTTCAAGACAAGCTTTTCCAGAAATATCTGTTACTAAAACTTCTCTCTGTAAAGTACTGAGCAATGCCAGAGACCTCTAGCATTAGAAAGACCACAGAACTGATTTGATGGGTCTGCAAGCTATTCCTTAATAATACTGAAGGTGCTATAATTTAGTTTGATGCAAGGATAACAAACTTCAAAGGTGAAATCATTTGAGAAAGGAATTATGTTTGGGATCAAACTGTGTACAATTTGGGGATGAGGATGCTGGGAAGAAGTATTAACATCCAGATTCTAGCAAATCCCTATCTTCATTGTCTAGAAGTGCTCTCTGCTGCGAGGTGTGAAGCAAATTGAAAAGGAAAAATGAGAGCAATACCACACATTAATGCAGGAGTCTCATAATTAATCCAGAAACAAAGAGGTATTACTTCCATTCAAGAGTGGATACAGAGGGAAATGCACTAGTGCCAGAGCATCCCCTTTTGATTCCTGATCTACCCAGAGTTTACAACCAACTGCCTAGCAGTGACAGCAGCATTCGTATTCAGGTAGTAGTGAGGAAGTCAACTGGCTAATTATAATCTACCAGATTCCTTCTAATCTCTTCATTCCACAGGTGTTAATGACCTTGTCTCTTTTAATGGTAGTGATGCTCCACTAATCAAGCTATCCTTTTTTTCTGTAATTCTATTGTCTGTTTGTTGCTCCTGGTAAGGTAGCTCCTATTTCACAGCCCTGCAGATTGTTTTCAACTCATTTCAATAAATATATGTTTTGCTTCAACCTTACACTGCATAACACAGTCCTAGGCCTCTAGCATATTAGTAAAATCCCTAGTTTAATTTTTAACTGTAGAAAAATGCGCTTTTTTTATATGTGGTGATGCACCTCACCATCTACAGCCCCCTTTTCACAATTCTAGATCTATCTATGCTTTCATTATGCTGCAAAAGGCATGTACTTCATTGCAAGTGATTAGCAAAAAAGTTTAATGCATCTCTGATCTATGGATACTTTAGTATAGTCTTATTTTAGAGGACTGACCTCTAGAGGGCAGAATGCATGCTAAATTCATGAACAAAGATAGAAAAACATTGTGAATATTTAAAAGCACACTCACACTTTGAACACTTTCTAAATTTCTTATGCCACTTTCTTTATGGCTGAAAAATAGTATACTATAAAGCTATAATAAATTTCTGTATCCTGACATTATTAATTCCTCTGTATTTTCAGATTTAAATAAAAAGACTGTCTCATTAGAGACTCCATTCCAGAATATGTGGATGGAATGCTTAGCACAAATTTCTTCTGATGAAGAGTCTAACATAGAGGAAAACATACATCCAAGTTGCAGTCCCTAAATTAATCTAGCCATTCTGGTATACATCTAGAAGCTAATCAGTAGCAGCTAAGTTATTAAAATACAAGCAAAATCTGTTCATACTTTACATAGTGCTTGCCTCTCTTTTAACTATAAGCTGAAACAGTTAAGAGAATAGAAAGGGGGAAGAGCCCTCCCCCCCCATTGTAAAAAAAAAAAAAGAAATCAACCTCATTTTAAAAATCTCAAAGGTAAACTCAAACCTATCAGAGTATAAACATACCTGTGGTGTCTGCGTATTTCTTTGCATTCCACTGCCATTCCAAATACAGTAGCACCTGCAGGAATAACTTGTCCATAGTCTTCAAAACTAACATCGTTATTTTTGGGCTGTGAAAATGTAAATAAAATTATTGCCTCACTGTACAGTAATATTTCTTTCTAATTGTACTGCTGAAC